CTGGTCACACGGGGGCGTTTGGCCGGGCCCAGCCCCCGGCAGCCCCTCACCCCGTCTCTCACCCAGCCCAGGCGCTGGCGGCAGGTAGGGACTTCTTCACGCGCGGGGACCTGCCGGCCCCACTCATGCCAGGGTTGACCGAGCAGCACCCCGCTGCAGGTTCTCACCACGGACTGTTTGTCTCAACAACAGGTAGCTACCCCGGACACCATGGTCACCACCACCGCTCGGAAGCTGGGAATCCCTCTCTGTTCGCTGGACTCCATGAGCAGCCTCCCCATGCAGCTCCAGGTGGCCATCTGAACGGACAGATAAGACTGGGGTTACCTGGAGAAATGTACGCCAGGTCTGAACATATCACTCAAGTACCGGCCTCCAGGACAGAGCCTTTCGCTGCTTCTTCTCTTCATAGCTACGGTGGCATGAATCTGAACGTGAACCTGGCTCCACACCACGGCCCGGGCGCCTTCTTCCGTTACATGCGGCAGCCCATCAAGCAGGAACTCATCTGTAAGTGGATTGAGTTGGACCAGACTCCCAAAAAATTATGCTCGAAAACTTTCAGCACAATGCACGAGCTGGTGACTCACGTCACGGTGGAGCACGTTGGAGGACCCGAGCAGTCCAACCACATTTGTTTCTGGGAAGAGTGTCCGAGAGAAGGGAAACCTTTCAAGGCCAAATACAAACTTGTAAATCATATCCGAGTCCACACAGGTGAAAAACCTTTCCCCTGCCCTTTCCCAGGCTGCGGTAAAGTGTTTGCCAGATCAGAGAATCTCAAAATACACAAAAGAACTCATACAGGTCAGTATGTAAAGCTCTCTTTACTCTCTCTCTCTCTCTCTCTCTGTTATTCAGCATACTGTTTTGTTTTATTTTGTTTTTAATGTATCCTTTGCGTTGTTATTGAATGCACGCCAAGCACTTCTGGAAAATAAATTCTCAGATTTGTTTGCTTCTTTACCGTTTGGAGGGTGGGGGGAGAAAAGGGGAGGAAAAAAGGAGAGTGAGAACAAATCTCAGAATTGTCGTCCGTATCTTTTTTCTGGTTGTGCGGAGAGGCTGCTGTAATGTTGATGCGGGTAGAGCTGTGTAAAGATGGAGTGATATAGCCACTATTTCTGCTTATTCACACAGACGAGGAATTTCTTTTTTTTACTCTGGCAGTTTAAAGTAGTTGGGGGGGGAAAAATGAAATCATTGTGCAAGCTCACAAATTAAAAGTGAACAATAGACGTTACAACTTGTCTAGTCAGTTTTGACTGATGTTGCTGAGACGCTGCTGCTCGAACATTGTGAGAACAACACAGCTGCGACCTTTTCGTTCAACAGTTTTGTTTTGGGCGGAGGGAGTTTCAAATGTTTGATCTGAATAACACTGACATTTTTAATGGGCATTGCCTCCCAAAGACTCTCTGCGTTCGCAAATATGGGTAGCTGCAAGTTCTGATTCTCGGGTGGGAGAAAAAAAGAGAAAATGAGAAGAAAACCCCGTATTGTTTCGGCCTGTACATTTTGAAATGTCATTTGCAGATCCGTTAAGCGAAATTGGGACATGTGTCAGAAACATCTGTTAGTTCTAGTTAACAGAAAATAAAGTAACTCGATGGACGATCTTGCAAAACTACGTTTGAACTCTTCCGGCCAGGAAAGCATTTATAATTAATGAAATTGCACGTAGAAAGTTTTCACACTTCCAAGAACAGCTTGTGAAGTTGTATTAATTAGTTTAGCAGCCGGTGTTTGTCGGTTGTAGCGCAGGCTCTTTTTTTTTTCTTTTCTTTTTTTCTCTGAAGGAGAAGATAAGAAATAAGCCCTTTTTGGAAAATTTAATCTGTTCCAGTGTAGGGTTTTCCACCTCCCACCCCCTCCTGTACAGCCTTATGCACTGTGAGGGAAACCGCATAATCCTATTGTAAGATCTGCTTACAGCCAAACGATTTTTTTCGCCTTCCAGTTCGTAAAACTCCCCTTCCCCCACGCCCGGTGCAGGGCTTGACCTTCCAGGAGTTGCATTTTTATGATATAACTCGACGTGATATAATGTGCAGAACGCACACGATAATTTCGTACCGCTGTCGCTAAACATAGCACAGAGATTTTACAGCGACCGTCACTCGTCACCTAATTATTTTTCCATCGCTCTATGAATAGCTCGTCTGTGTGAGGGGGGGTCGATGGCAAAGTCATCTACCTCTGCTGCCTCCTCGGCCCCCTTTTTCGAGGAGAAAGGGGTGTCTCCGGGTCACGTAACTTGTACCCGAGCCAGGTCCTCGCCGGATCAGCACAGGTACAGCCATTAACCGGGAGAGCTCATCCCTTAATGACAGTGTTTTTCTTAAGCAAACAAACTTTTACTGCTCTTTAACGGCCTCACTGTTTGAAGTCTCTGAAGCAGAAAATGGTTAAATTCTTGGGAAAACTGACCTACATCGGAGAGGCAGGTTCAGGGCAAACCCGCGATCGGAGCTTTGCGTTTATTCAGCGTCGTTCCGCGCGCCTGTACTTTTCGCTTTAACTTTCCCGGTGATTAATTGCCTTATTGTGAAAACTCCTGCAGGGCCTTTATGGTTCCGCCATTTCTATTAAACACCCAGAAGTTGTCAGAAACGCAATGTTTCTGAAACATTAATAGAACTCGCCACGAATTATTCATGAAGACGGTTCTAGATTCAACAGGAAAAATTATTGCCTCGTCAAATATTAATGACTTCTGATTTCTCCGAGGCTGGGGAGCAGGCAGAGGGATTTCTGGCGATGCTCGGGTTTTCCAGGTCGGAGGCCGAGGCCGTTCCGGCGGCGGCAGCGGGACGGGCAGGGATCGCTTCGCCTCCTCCCCAGCGGGCCGGGAACAATAGTGCGAGGCGTGGGACGGAGCCCC